GTCCCGGAGCAAATCGGGGTCGTTCACCACCAGCGACTTACCAGTGAATGTGTACGTGCCGTAAACCCTACCGTATTTTTGGGCCGATTTTAGGGTGTTGTAGTGGTGAATGCTAGTGAAATCTTTGAATTCAATGAACTTTGGCCCTGGTACACCTCGACGCGACCAGTATGTGAAATGTCGCCGTAGTAAACTAGGTTAAATTAATTGTTAGTTGATTTAAATTGTATTTAGTTAGCTTTGTCTATACTTACAATGCTATTATAGCTATAGTAACTCCCACTATACTCAATGTTGTTTGTAAGTCCATTATTATTAAAATTATAGTATTTTTGACAGTGTAGTTTTAATTATTTTTTAAAAATTATTTATGATATTGCTGACAACAAACTTTATAAAACTTTATTATTAAATTGTGAGATAATTATTTTTATAAGACTTGATACAGTATTTTAAGACTACTTTTAACACTGATTTAAAATATGATTTTCACAGTATAATAGTATTTTACACAATCCTTTTATTTTAAGCATAAAATATAAATGATAACTTTTCCGTCAGACTTTACTATTTATAATATATAATGTTTTACATTAGGACTGTTGCACCTAAGTTTTCATTTATTGTATAATGCAATATGCTAACATTTAGTGCACTCAGGGTAACTCAGTACTTTAGTACTATTTTGGGATTTATAGCTAAATTTGGTTATACCAGTTAACACGATCATTAAATTCAATGGCCTAACCCTTACCACTAACCTTGTACAGTATTATGTTAGTAGCAAGTTATGAATAATTATTTTATTAAGATCAAATTTAATGTTTAAAGTTAAACTACACTATAACATATAAAAATTTAAAACTGTTATATCATTTAGTATGTCTATTGATGACATTATACAAAATCTATAAACAAACTTTTAATGTTGTTTAGCATAGTAAACTTATATTAAATTATATTGAAAATAAGTAGTAGATTTAGTGCAATATCGTGTGTATTTAAAAATAATTATTAGTTTTTAATTTAAAGTAAATGTTTAGTTTATATCAAGTAATAGGTAAGTTTATAAATATTAATTTTTGATGAGAAATAGTTAGTTGAAATACAATAAAATGTAAAATAAAATTATTTTATTAGTATTGAGAAAAATATAGCATCAAGATAAAATGTGCACTATTTAGAGCCCAAATTACGTATAGTTTAATAGTTAAACATTAATTAATAGTTATTACGATTATATTAATGTTTGAAAATATTACAGTCTGATAAACATATTTTAATAAAATTATATTAATATCTAAAATAACAGTATTAAGTTTTAAATTGAAATTTATATTTTAAAACGTTCCTTAAATGTAAATTATTACAAATAATTTATTAGTCTACGAAATAATTATAAAATAATTTATTATAAAAATTAATTCAATTTAAACAAAATTTTCAACGTGCAATTTAATTGATATTAAGTAGGTATATAATTTAATTAATTAATTTATGTTAAATGAGTTTAAACTACGATTACTAAAAATAAAAATACTGAAATAGTTTTTTAACGATAACACTTGCTGTTGTCCACTAATAATAAAATATTACACCTTGTAAACAAAATAAAATTATTTTAATAAATTTACAGTCTGATCACATTTAAGCATTATTCATATTTTACTAAAATTTAATAATTATAGTTTTATTATTTTAAAGACATACTACTTTTAATTGACACGTTTTAATATATTCTAATGAACTCACATATAAAGCATATTATAATTGATCATGCACAGTTTATAGTGTATGACTTAACTATGTACTATAATTTATAGTTTTAACGTAAACTATTATATAGATTATAAAAATATTTTATTTTCAATAATCAGTATTTTGTTTAAACATACTGTATAATAATCATACTAATAATCATTACTCCCTAGTTTTAATAGTAACAAGCACCTTTTTGGGTGACATTAAGACACTACCATTATAGTAGTCCAAGTTAGATTTCTGAGCCAGGGTAAAATCGTATGCGTGAATGAGTTTAGCCAGGCACATTCGCATCTCTTGTAAGGCAAACCGTTGTCCAATACAAACACGAGGTCCGGCACCAAATGGTAGGTACGCATAGGGATGGTGTGTGGGCTCTAGAAAGCGGTCGGGTATGAAGTCATTAGGGTTGGGCCAGTACTTCGGGTCCCGGTGTAGAGCGTAGGGCAGTATTTCAATGGACGTGCCCTTTGGTACAGTAATACCTATTTTACAGAAATACAATATTATGTATAAATTGTTTTAATATAGAGTTTTATATAGAATTGTATTTTAGTATAAGTATTATATTTTAGGATAAGTACCGGTATTTCCGAGTTTGTAGTCCTGCAAGGCTTCCCTTTGGACACGGGTTAGGGATGGGGCCAGACGTAGGGTCTCACTGATGATTGCGTTCAAGTATTTCAAATGACCTAGCTTCTCATAAGTAAACTCATCGCATGTTTTCAACTCTTCGTACAGTTTTTGTTGATGCAACTTGTGTTGAGACAAGTAGTATATTGCGTGGGTTAGGGCGGCACTGGTAGTGTCGTAGCCGGCGATGAAAAAAGCTATTCCCTGAGCCGTGAGCTCGTCCGGCGTGAGTTGACCGTCCTTTTTGGACAGGGATTCAGTCGACTCGTCCGCATCGACATCGCTGTGGGACTCGTATCCCAACTCTTTGTCCGACTTTTCCGAGTCTATCATCAATTGAATGAAATCTGTGCGACGTTTGGCTGTAAATATAATTTGATTTTTAGTAAAAATAAACTTTTGCTTTAACTCAAACTGTAATATTTATTACTGTGACTTTTTATTTTAATATAAAGTGTTGTTAAAATTTATAATTGGTTTAGTAATGACTGATATAAATTTTAAAAATTATTTTTAAATTATAGGGACTGACTTTTTGGC